GGTCTTCAAGCAGAATTTGGACTGCATTTCCTCTAATTAGAAGCTTGGGGCTCTTCTCTTCCTCTGCACTCTCCTTTTCTTCATGTTAAGAAGCTTCAAGCTCCTCCTTTGCTGAACCACCTGACCTGAGTCCTACCTTAGAGGCTGGTATCCCCCTGCTCCTCAAATCCACCTGCTTGCAGTGCAATGGGATGTGCCTTCATCTTCTTTGGGTGCATTCATGTAGAAGAATTAAATATTAAATGTAGAAATGTTACTTGTGATGTAGACACATACTGTCTAACACACAAAAAAATGTTCATTAGGTTCCATTTAAAGCCTGCACAGATCTTTCCATGGAGGGAAAAGGAATTTACCCTTGTTGACACCAGTCAATGTGTCAATGCTGGGCTGCAGTTTCAGGAAATGCTGTAGGATCCTTGTTAAAAGGCATTCTAGACATGAATATAAGCTACATGTAGGAAGATGCTCCCTGATTTGCGATGGGTCTCCTACAGCTATTCCCGCTCCATCCAACTCACAAATGGTTATTTAATTAGTGATCTAGACTGTACAGAGAAGGTTCATCCATCTCCTCCTATGACAGCATTATAAAATGCTACAGTAGGCTGAAGTGTTGTCACAGTCAATATTTCACATAATTAGAGGAGGTCGCTGAGTATCTTTGGCCTTGCATTATTGATGGTTTAATGAATAGACTGTTTCTCCTTTGAGAACATCTGTTTAAATATAGTGCTTATCCCTTATGAGGTAGTTCAGAGCTTTCAAATAACTGTCATCCTTCTGCTTGAATCAAACCAGTGGTTAAGCATCTATTCATCTCCTACAGAAGGTCAGTATTTTCTTTGCAACCCAACTGGCACAAACTCTGTGACAATTTAATATCGGTGTTTATCATGTTTCTGCATCTTCAGGCCTGAAACCAAAGTTATTTTGACTCCAAATTGTTTGTAGCTTTTTTTGCCCAAGTTCCAACTTGGCAGGAAAAGAAACCCTCCTCTTTAATTTCATATCATTAAGCTGAACACAGCTATCTCCAAAGTTCAGTGGGGTTTCTGTCTGCCTGACATGTTCTTTTATTGTGAGGCTGGAAAACAATCCTAGGCAAAGAATCATCTGGGAAGATGGTAGAACTGTCTCCTACTCATATGTTTCTTTTATAAATACACTACACAAGAAAATTTAGCATTACACAAGAGTCTAAACCAATCCTGGTTAGAGCCAACAGTCAAACCTTTTAAATTTGTGATGGAACAAATGGCTCTTTAATGTAAGAACTCCCATAGATAAACAATTTGTGTCAGTGGACAAAATCTGGGGGTTTCTTTGCCTGTGATTTGGCCAAAGATACTGGACCAATTGGAGGTGATCTCTGGATGGACCAACTGGTCAAACCTAGAGGTATCTTGTAGGAGAACTTTTCCATTGCAAAAGCCTCTTGCCAATGATGACAGCATTGGGTAACACGGAGAGGTGGTGGACAGGAGAGTGTTTCTGGAGTAGTCTCTGCTCCTGCAAGGTGTCATTCAATTTGGAGAACTTGCAACATCTAACTGCATTGGTCTTGCTGATCTCTCAGCACAGAGTAATAAATGCAACTTCTTGAATTAACAACATGTCATAATCCATGTAACATGAAGCAGCTCAAGCTTTGCTGAAACCAGGTGTAAACTGATAGTAACATTCAACCTTGAGGCTCTGAAGGGGTAGAAGGTGGTGTTCAGTTCTGCCATCCCCCTCCACAGCATCCTGTGTTCCCTGGTGCTGAACAGCCCACAGCAGTCGTGTCAGGGGAAGATCAATGCTGGTGCAGAGTGGTTGTGACTTCTGCAGCTGTATTAATTCTTCAGTGTTCTGGCTTTCTTCAGCCTTTCATCAGCTTGGTCCAGATGAAGAGAGCACAGAAATATTTGAATGGTGGATATTTACCACGTTCATTAAAAAGGAGAAGGGGAAAAGAAAATCAGCAACTTGAGCAAACACGATTTCATGTAATTGTCTTTGATTTAGAAAAATAATAAATTAAATAGCTTAGCTCTCACTGGGATTTGCCTTAGGGACTACCACGGATGAGTTACACAACTCAGCATTCACTCATCAGCCGATTCTTTGCAAAACCATATGGCTCCTTGCAGGGATTTCTTTAAATATTATGCATGGATATGAAATTGGTGCCTTTGTAGATGTTAAGTCTGTTGCTTGAGGCTCATTTTGAAATAACGTTTCTAGATAGTACAGCAATGCTAATTTTGCAAGCAATAACCTAATAGGAAGCAGTTGTTCAGGCACTTTGAATCAAATTAAGAAGAGAAATAGAAAAAGAACTATTAAAAGATTAAACTGATCTCAACTTTAAAGATAAGCTGTGCCACTCTGTGTGGCTTTCACATGGAAATCTATTTTATGTAATGGAAGGCAATGAAAAAAGGAGAAACATTATTAAAAAGTAAGATGCCACTGATTTCACGTATCGAATCATAAATAACGGAACTGCTGCAAAATGCATGTATTAATTTACTGCAGTAAATTGTTTTGAAAACATATGAGTTTATTTCTGATGAAAAGTATTTAATGATGTCTTACTCTATCACAGGAACCAGCAGAGGTATCTGCAACACTAACTCATGTACATTACTTCCAACACATGCCTTAACTGTGGATTCAAATGGAAATACCTTTCAATCGTCTGACAAAATTTTCCCATGGAATATGTATTTTAGATGTCTCCCTTCTTTAGGATGTTCAAAGCAGGCACCTGCAAGGGGTTCATCTTTCCCACTGGTTAATCAGCACTTTCAGAGCTGGGTGGTCTGCAGAACATTTCTGATTGAGCACCCAAACCCCAAAGCATGTCTAATGATATAAGGAAAGCAAGTGCCCGGAAAACATAGGGTTAAGATATTTTTAACTTAGGTCTAAGATAGGGAACAATGTTTGTGTTGTAAGTCTGTGGTGTGATAACAGAATTTAGTAGTCTTACTAACAAGAGTGAATGATTTCTTTCCATCCTTCTAATGAGTGAATTATTTCTTATGATCCTTCTAATTATCAGTTAGTTTGGAGACCGTGCCTCTGGAACATCTGCCAGCTTGGGATACTCCTTGTCTGCCCATCCTGTTCTGCTTGCAATAAACTTTGTGCGAAGGTCACACTGTCCTAAATCTTTGCTAGCTATGAGAAACTTACAGATGTGGCTGGTTTCAGCTGGTTTTGTGATTACTGGGGCATCCAACTGTGCCAAAAGTGAAAAGTGCACTGTGAGGAAGACTGCTTACTTCATCTTGAAGACCCCTGCCCACGACCATCGGATGGCAGTGCACAAGCACCAAAAGGGAGGAGACTTATGATAATGAGTACCTAAACTAATTGTAATATCCCTGCAGCTCTCTCAGGAACCTAAGGAATATGCATGTTTGTGTGTAATAAACATCTGCTTGCTTAACCCCTTCGTGTGCAAGTTAGGAGGAGTGATCCCCCTTGCACCCAGCGCATTAACAAACATACCTGCTTTATAACTCTGAGTTGTAGAGTCTGATTCCGTGCTTCACCGTCCATCTCCTCGGTGCCTCATGTGTCCACCATCCCCTCCTCAGCGCCTCATGTGCCCTCCATCTCAGCTCCTCATGTGCCCTCCACCTCCTCAGCGCCTCATGTGTCCTCCATCTCAGCTCTTCATGTGCCCTCCACCTCCTCAGCTCCTCATGTGTCCTCCATCTCAGCTCCTCATGTGTCCTCCATCTCAGCTCCTCATGTGTCCTCCATCTCCTCAGTGCCCCATGTGCCCTCCTGTGAGGACGGAGGCACGGACCCAGAGGTGGATTGCAAGCTGGATCGTTTATTGCAAAGATTACACGATATTTATATGCTTCCAAGCAATTAGCCAAGCACATCTGTGTTTGCCTTGTGGTTACATCAGGTGAAAGGTCTACCTGATTTTCTTATCGACATCCTCTTTCCAGTTCCGCCGTCCTTGTTCCTTGCCAGTTCCAACATCTTCCAAGTACCAGTCAGGGACGGGTCACTCTTAATTGCCTGCTGTACTTCCTCCTTCCCATGGTCTCTGACAGTTTCGACACATTCCAACCCCCATACCCTCCATCTCCTCAGTGCCCCCATGTATCCACCATCTCCTCAGCGCCTCATGTGCCCTCCATCTTCTCAGTGCCCCCATGTATCCACCATCTCCTCAGTGCCCCCATGTATCCACCATCTCCTCAGTGCCCCATGTGCCCACATCTCCTCAGCTCCTCATGTACCCTCCACCTCCTCAGTGCCCCATGTGCCCTCCATATCCTCAGTGGCCCCATGTATCCACCATCTCCTCAGTGCCTCATGTGCCCTCCATATCCTGTGCCCCATGTGCCCACATCTCCTCATGTACCCTCCATCCTCAGTGCCTCATGTGCCTGCCATCCTCAGCGCCTCATGTGCCCTCCATCTCCTCAGTGCCCCCATGTATCCACCATCTCCTCAGCGCCTCATGTACCCTCCATCTCCTCATTGCCCCATGTACCCTCCATCCTCAGCGCCTCATGTGCCCTCCATCTCCTCAGTGCCTCATGTGCCCACCAGTGCCTCAGCACCCAACTCAGCATGCAGCCCTGCTCCTTCCAGGCCGTGTCCGGGCCTCATTCACTGCCTGTTTGAACGATTCGCTGGGGACACAGTGAGCAGGTTCATAAGCACAGGGCACTGCAGCCCTCCCCGGTGCTCCCCCGCGGACAACAAGGAGTTAACACTCTCTCCTCCCCTCGCCAAGCGGGCTGCGGCTCCTTTAAGGACTTCCCCGCCTTCCCCTATTCGCGCTTCCGGTTGCTGTGACGTTCCCGGCAGCTGCGGCCGGGGCGGGGCGGTGGTAGGCGCCGCGGGAGGGGGGGTTGGAAGGTACCACCGGCCGCGGGGCAGCGGGGGGGGGGAGCGGTCCCCGAGGGGCGGGGCTTCTCCTGCGGGGCGGGCAATGGCGCCGCGGGGAGCCGGACGGGACAGGCCGGTTGCGGGCTTTCGGTGGTGTTCGCCGGGCCTGGGCGGCTCGGTGGGGCGGTTGTCCGTAGGGTAGACGTCTCGCTGGCGGCGGAGATGGATCTGCGCCTCGCTGAGCTGGTGGAGGAGCTGACTACCTCGGGGGAGCCGCGGCTGGAGCCGGGCAAGATGAAGGAGCTGAAGAAGATCTGCAAGTACGGCCGCCCGGTGAGGTGGGGTGAGGGGGGAGCCGGGTCTCCGTGCCTCAGCCGGGAGCGACGCTTCTGGCCGCCCGCACAGCGGCTGAGGCCCCCGAGGATCGCCCTGGGGCCTGCTGTTTGAGCTGGGGACAGATTGCTGCCAGCACAGAAACTGCTGCTCATTAAAACATTTAGCGGAATTGGTTAAAAGTTACGTCTTTATGTGCTAAACCTCTATATAGATAACTCCTTCCCTTTTTCTTTCACCCGTTTTTCGTCTCTCAGGTCTTCAGATGAACATATCAGCCATGCCTGTCACCTGCTGCTGACACGGCTCCGTGAGGAGCACGCCGAGATACGCTTCTCGGCATTCCAGATCGTGCAGGAGCTGTTCTCCAGATCCCATAAGTTCCGGACTCTACTTATTTCCAGCTTCCAAGATTTCTTGGAGCTCACAGTGGGGATAGACCATGAGCAGCCTCTTCCGCCACCCAAAGAGGTGGCACAGAAGTTGAGGAAAGAAACCATTAAGTCAGTGCAAGAATGGCATGAGAAATATGGGGAGGCCTACAAGAAGCTTGCTCTGGGATACCACTTCTTAAAGCAGAATAAGAAGGTACTCTGCATTTTTATTTCTGAGTGTGTTTTTAGGTGGTGATTGTTAGGAGGTGTTTTAAGCGAGGGAACCAGTAAATAGAAAAGAAAATGTTGGAAGCAGCATTGTCTTTAGGAGATAGCCTGTTGAGCATGGTCTTTGAAAAACAAACCTCAATTTTTGTCATCTTGCAGTACCGTCAAGTTTTAAAACCCCCAGGCTTGTGCTTGGAGCTGGGCTTAACTAGGCTTTCCTTTGAGTGCAAGAAGTATTGCTCACCAATAGGCTTTCATCCACTGATTCTTCCCAGAAGCCCCAAAGTTGAGCACTTTTTAAAATGGAAATAATAGTGGTACCTTAAACTGAGGATAACCAGCTGTTAAGTCTTTCTGTGTCAGTTAAAACTAGCCTGATTTTTGTACTGAGCTGTCCAGTTCTAGTGTCCTTTTGCTGTACAACACACTAAAGTGTAGGCGCTATACCCCCTCAGCTGATGTGTTACTGTGGTGTACAACAGCTTTATTAATGGAAAATTTCTTGTATGTAAATACATTTTGATGTCATTTCTAGGCTTCAAATTATTGTGTTAAGAATATTCTTCTTGTATGTATCTCTTCTGAGGTGAGATTATGATAATACTAGGCTTTCAATAAACATTGATTCTCTTTCTCATCAGAAAGACAAATGCTCAGTGTTCTTAACAGGAGTTCAAAAAACCCTGGTGATACATGATGTGTTTCCATTCTGGTTCTATACTAAGCTAATAGTCTGCCCTACATCTATTATTTCATAGGATCAGAGAATGGTTTGGTTTGGAGGGGACTTTACTAGTTCTAACCCCCTTGCCATAGGTGTTTATTATACTGTGTTCTTCTTCTGTACAGTCTTTGATATCTGCTCACAAAAGGTGATTTGAATTCCCCTTTAGTCTGTCTTGTTTGACAAAGAACTGCATGAAAGTGACAAGGAGAAATGGGAGACTGAAATGATGGAGCTTTAACACATAATACAGTTCTACCAAGTTGAGCATATAAGTGTGCAACAATCCTGCTGAAGTTTGACATGTCTGTGCTCCTGTGGTTAAAGGCTGCTCCCCAGTTACATCTGGGTTGTCACTCTCTGTATTTGTGATACAAAGCTGTACAGCAAGGTTCAATGTACTCTTTTTTAGAGCAGCTGAATTTGAGTACTTCAGGAAACATTGATACCGACAGAAACAGTCTTACATAGTTTGACTCTTGTACTTGGATAGCTAGATATGCTAACTGACCTAACTGGCCTTTTGCCAGCTTAATACTTGAAGTGCAAGAAACAGCCAAAAGGTTTGAGGAGACATTTGTACTTTCTGGTAGTAAAGTACATCTGCTGTTCTGTATTGCAGGACTGGCACAGTAGTATAGGGCACCTTGAGAGGAGTGTTAGCTGTGTGTGTGGTTTGTGGTTTTGGTTTGTGGTTTGTTGGTTTGGGGTTTTATTATCACCAGAATCACCTTATCAGTAGTTGGTCAGCAGATGACAACTGCTGCCCCTTTAGGGTGTAAACCTGGAGGGCTGCCCACTGATCTAATCTTAGTAGGTGTCAAGTAGGTAACTATACAAATGTTTGACTTCAAGAACAAGTTGCTCATCAGGGCAACTGAATCATATTATAGTGTCTTTGCCTCTGAGGAATGCATGGATGGGGTTATGGAGTAGACTGGAATTCCAGAGTGAAGAGAATTTTTAACAGGTCAATACATAAATATTACTCCCATATGCCAGTATTTTTGCTCAAGTTGCCATAGGTGTCTAGGCTCACTACTTACACTCTTTAAATCAAGAGCAATTGCACCTCATCACATCCAGTTCCATAATTATAGACCTCTGGTAAAAGGTTTCATACAGCCTGCACTGATACGAAGGCAGAACAACTCTGATGTCGATCTGTATCACCTAAATGGTGTTAGATGTTTTCTGACCAAATTAGTGAGTTAGTGCTGACACCAGATAGCAGGTGACTCCGTGTGCACATCTGTAACTTGGGCCCTGAGTTATTCTGACCCTGGGAGGCTTCTGTAAGAGGCTGCTGTGTCCTGTGCTGGACAACTCAAAGCTTCTTGTGTGCAGTAAATTTGGTTGTTGGTGGATACCTTGTATGTGAGGTGTGTTCTGGTTATCAGTGTCAAACCATGACAGTTTTGCAGGTGTTGTAAGAAGGGTACCTGGACAAGTGCCAAAGTGTGAAACAGTGCAGTGGAGCAGCATGTGGCTGGTCTTTTTGGGACAGAGAAGGAGAAAGAGTGGGCAGGTGGCTCTGCTGTAGGTATTCTGGTACCTTCCTTCTGCCGACCCATTTCACACTAAAAATGAGCTTGGTGAGTCTGCCTCTTTTCCTAAACTGATAGAGGCTCTCTATGCCAGTTTCTGTGCAAACTGAAGTATCCTTTTGCTCTTAGAGGCTTTTATAGACAAAACATTTGTCTTTAAATTGTTTCATAAATACTATTTGTAAAAGCCTTAAGGCTTATTGCACACCATAGGGTTTATTCTGCAGTAGAAACATTTATATAGCAAAACACTCAGATTTCTGTTCATATTTTAGCCATAAGAAATGGAAGTGAATGATAACCTTTTCCCTCAATCCCACAATACAACAAATGTAATTGTAAATTCAAGATTTGATCTTTTTTAATGAATTTGAACATGTTCTCTTCTATTTTCCTTGTTTACAAAGTTCTTCAGTAAGTGATATGTATACTTGTGTTTACATATTTTCCTAAGCTTTCTTTATTAACAGTGGACCTACTGTAATGTTTTTATATAATTTGAATGATCACCCTTTGTAGTCCCTTCCTGCCTGTTGCCTCTAAGCCTGTGTCTCCCAAAGCCTAGTTTATTCCTGCATTTTAGTTGTGGAAATCTAAGCGTTTTGGTTTTCTGCCTTATGATTCCTTTCTGAAAGTCATTGATTCTCAGCAGTCCCTTATTAGTAGAAATAAAAACTCTGTTCAGAATTACTGTAGTTATTGATTCTAGGAGGAGAAGAGATAAAAGGAAGTGCTGCTGAGCTTCTGGCTGATTGCTGGTGTTAGAGGATTTTTCACCCCAGATAAGCATCTTGGGAAATGGGTTTTCTGTATATTTCTTGTGAGGAATGTTACACTTTGTTCATTTCCTCCTTAGGTAGATTTTGAAGATGTGCATGCCAGAACCATTGCTGAAAGGAGGAGGGAAGAGGAGAAGCAAAAACGATTGGATAATGTTTACAAAGAAAAAGCCAAAAGAGCTGAAAAAGAAATGGAAGGTGAGTTGCTTTGGTTCTTTTAGTGATTGCTTTGGGGGTTTTGTTTGTTTTTAAAGCAATCCTTTTTAAGGTTATATAAAACAAATTGAAAAGGATGGCTGTCGATGATAGCTGAGCACTAAGGACAGGAATACTACATTTGTTAGAGTCTCTCACCTAAAGGTTATCAGGGGAAACAAGTGACAATCCTGTGAGCTCAGGCAGTATGAAGAGTTTTAAAAACAAAAAAGAAAAGTTAGCAAGTAAAGGTCTGGTCTGTAATATGGAAAAGTATGAATGCATAACCTCAAGCAAGCATATTGTGAGACTTTTTGGAGCTAGTGATTTAGTTTGTGTCATTAAGTGGACACAGGTTTCTCAACAATGAAGTCCTCATGTTCCAGAGGCATAGGGAGTAGTCTGCACAGGAATTCTGAATGCAGTGTAGGATATCCATGAGAAGTATCATACCACTGCTAAAAAATGTGTCTAACTGAGGGCTGTATCTCAAGTGATATGTACATAGCAAACATATTTCTGTAATATGAAAGGAGAACAGAGATAGTAAATATATTATGGTGCTGTTGCAAAGGGTTATTTAATTAAATTACTCTGGTATATGTAATGCATCCAATTGTGTCTGCATTTATTCTGCATGCTGGAAATGTTTTCATGCATGAGGGTGGAATTTTAAGGAGATTTAACCTTCTTAAAGTCACTTACATTGGCAGCATCAAGCAATAGCATATATTCACGGCTACAACTATAGGCAGCTCTAACAATCATGGCCGTAGAATGATACTAACATCACTAAGAATATTCCCATTGAACCTTGTTCTCCTTCAAATTCTATGAAGTACTTGTGTCATATTCACATTGTGAAATTTTAGAGAGGGTAGAGAAAGGGGAAACACTGATCCTAAATTCCTTGCTGAGGAGGTTCTACATTTCCTGCTTAAGGAAAGTGTTGTCATTTTTATAAGAACAATTTTTGAGCAAAGAGAGACCTGTATGGCTGAATTATCCCTGTTTACAGGATAAATGGATTACCCCTTTGGCAGTTAAATTTGGCAGTTATATTTGTTCTGTAGATCTGTGTCTGCTTTAGAGTTATTGTGGGCATTTTAGAGTATTTAATGATATTCTAAAACATTTGTGTCTTGATAGAAATGTCCCAAGAGATTGCTGACACACTGACAGAGATGGAAAACTGTTTCCGGCTTCTCCTGCCAGACCCTTTTGACTTCACTGTGCACAACGCAGAACTGGAACCCAACAAACAAGTGTCTGCTAATGAGGGTAGACCTGTATCCCCCTGGTCTTCTCAGATGGAAGTGAACCAGTCCTACCTTGAATGCATGGATGATGAGCAGCCGTGCTGCAGCAAGGACATTCTTTCTCAGTGTGTTAGAACTGATACAGAGTTAGATGAGAAACAGGAAAAGCTGGAACAAAAAGACTTGGATGAAGGCACATGCTCAGAAGTTCAATCTGGTGTCCTTGCTCTCGATGATGATGATGATTATGAGACTTTTGTTAGGAACCATGGGCTTATTTCACACAAGTATACTCTAGACATTGAAGTCTCCACAGGTACCTGGAGTATCTTTCACTTTTAGCTAGAGGCAGCTTAGGTCTGAAGTGCTTTGCAGTTGTGAGGTTTTTAAATGTTGGGGTTCCTAGACACCAATTTGATTTGGAATTTCTAGACAGCACTTTGATTTCCTTTGGAGTTCTTTCCTATTTCTGGTTCATCTGGTAACCATTCTTAGGTTTGGGTGTCCTTGTATGCGATTAACAGATTTGATTAATCACCTTCTGAGACTGAACTTTTGTATTAGTTGTAACCACATTTCAGCACTTCATAGTACCTATAAGTTTCCTGTGTTAAAAAGTTTTCCATATGTAATTTTCTTTCTCATATACTTCACTACTCACTTTTTTTCTTTCTATAGCTGGGGTATAAGCTGCTGATTCAAAAATCTTAACAGTTGAGTGTTTCTTAAACTTTGCTTTTCCCCTTGCTGTTGGGAACTTGCAAGAATCAGTAGTTTTGCTAGAAGTTTTAAGCATTATATTATATATTCTTTTAATATAACTTTGCTAATGTGAGTTACCTCTTAAAAAATGAGGCGGTTGTGTTTTGGCAGGCCAAGTGAAGTCTCTTTAAAATACTGTCCTAACAGAATTTCATGTGCTAACAACCAGTAAGGCATGAACCTACCTGTGGGCTTGCAGACAACAGATTGGAAATGTATCCATAGGACTTGTGAATGGCTAACTGGTAAAAAGTACCATTTTTACTGGGATGGTGGCATACTTTGGCTTCTTTGACAATTAAGTCCCTGTTATGTCAGTAGTAAGACTGCACTTGTCTGTGGTTTATTTGGTGATTCCTTAGTAGTGATGACTTAACAACTCTGTCATCACTGAACTGAAAGATTTTCATCTTTTCCTCTGATGTTTTTTGAATGTGTGGATAATGGTAGAATAATTAATACTGAACAGAGAAACATTCTGATGTTTGTAGTGATGAAGTGATGAAATAGTTTGGAAAGGTTCACGTCTACTTCTTTCACTTACTTCTTTTAGCTCCTGGAGTAAAGATACTATAAATATTGTGCACTAACACTTTTTTTCCTGTTTTGAGCAGATATAAAAGTGCATGAGAATGAAGATAATACTGCTATAATAAACAATGTCATGGATGCTCACAGACTTCTCAGAAATAAGTTCTGGCCTTCTGTGCAGTCCTGGATCCAGGTGGGATAGAGACCATTTTTTTTTACTGTTTGTTATAAAGAGAATGGAAAAGCAAGGACTGGCGTACAATATGTCTTGAGAGTGAGCAAAAAAAGAAATGAAGGTTAGCACCTCCCTGGTGCAAACAGGGAGGATTTCTGTTTCAGTAAGGGCGGACGAAAGACTGCAGGAGCTACATAACTTGTTTGAAGGCTCTCAGCATTAGATGTGCTACCTACAGTCATACTGTTTTGTAAAGATACAGTAAAATGGGGGTTCTTCACAAAGGATGAAAGTAAAACACAGCTTGTTTTTGTCAGACATGTCTATCAGAAAAACAGTATGTCCTTTCTGTCAGTTGATACTACTGCTCAGGAACCTTGTGCATGGAATTTGGCCTATAGAAGGACACTCTCAGGAAATGTTTTTACCAGCTGTTAGGTCTTTTTCATTAGTAGTTGCTATTAGATTTTATATTCTAGATGGAAAAGAAGTGGCTTCATTAAGAAGTGGCTTCATTTTTGCTTTGCAGTTATTTACCAAAGCAGGAATAAATGATGATCGGTTAAGATGTGCCATTGATCTCAAGAATAAAATGGAGACTGCTATGAAGAAATACAGGGAAATGAACATTTCGTTTAGAGCAAGAAAAAGAAAAGTGGTGAGTTTCTTAAAACTTTTTCTAGAGGGGACTATTGGTAACGCTTGCCTTGTGTAGAAAAAAACTCACTTTCTCTTAAACATTAAGCTGGACTTCTCAACACAAGTTCTGTTGAAACATACACCTGATTGCAGCTTCACTCATGGAAGTTGCACTAAACACCTGCAGAGTGTGCAAAGCCATGTAAGGCAGCACTTCGGTTAAGTTCAGATCGTATTTACTCCTAGTTTCTTTGTATGTAACACTGTTACACATGGGTAACAGCCCTCAGCTTCCTTTGTGTGTGTCTATCCCTAAACACTGTATGGTCTTTTACAACTGGCCCAGCTGTGCTAGAGTCTCTCAGTTCAGGAAGGCAGTGTCTGTCTCTACTTTGAAGCATTTCCTTTCTCTAGCGAGCGTGAAATGTGATTGAAGATATCTTAAGAGAATTAGTTATGTAAAGCTTGAAAGTGTCAAAATATTTCACAAAGATTAGTTACCTATGATAGTTTTTTGTGAAGTTGGTAGAACTTGTGAATAAACAGAAGCTGAAAGATCAAATAATTCAAACAGATCCAAAAAGGAGCCTGTGGCTTGTTGATGTAGCTAAAAGCAGAGCTGCGTAACAGTCATTTCTGTTGGCTGCAATCAAACATCATTACTGTATAGCTTGACATAAGTGTTTAGGGCCAGGGTCCAGAGCAGAGTCTGGTTTATGACTGGATTGTAACATTTGATCTGGACATTAAACCTTGGTCTGAACTGTGGTAGCCTTGTTTAGCTGTGACTGAGTGTTGTAGACTTTGCTTTCTTTGTACAAATGAAGCTTTTATCAAGATTAATCTGGTTCATCATCTTAATACCTACTGACATACCACAGCAGTCAAAAATGCCAGCTGTGAATGAAAAGTACTGAAAGGCTGTCTTGTCAGAGGTTTTTTTTCTCCAGTGAAATATGTGTGCTACCTTTATGCAACCAGCTATGAAGGAATCCAGACATCTGCTGTCATTCCTGCCATTTGCTTGACAGGACTTCATTTGCTGCACTTCTGCATGGAATATTGGTTGCTATATTTCTTGCAAGATATAAAGGACATTCAAGCCTGGATTTTTGCGTGTGCGTGTGTGTGTGTGAGTGTTTAAAGTGGTATTGTAACCACTTCTGGAGATTGATCAATGCTATCTATATGAGTTTTGAAAGCTAATAAATTCTGTGGTTAGAAGGAAAAAAAAAAAGGAAAATACATAACAGAGCTCACAAATACATTCAAAATGAAGCAGTGCAGATTGAGGTATTAACTTAGGCATGGAAAACAATATATAATTATTCCTAGGGTTTTTCTCCAGTGGGAAAATACCCAAATTTAGTTACTTTAAATTTATAACCTGCACACAGAGAGCTTTGTACTGTAGAAGGAAACTGTATTAATTATATTTTAGTCATGTGTCAAATGAGTTTGTTAAAACCACAGTAAAATGAGTCTGATAGAACAAAATAAACAGCCTATCTTAGTGATTATTAAATCTTCATCTGTCAACTATTTTACGTGTCAGCATATGAAAGACTACACAGAGCTCCTCTTGAATTCAGCATTGCTGTTTGTGTTATTGCTTCTGTCTGTACATCCTTGTGTCATTGAAGCTGAAGTTGCTATGCCAAAGTTTTCCTATCTTCTCTGTCTTTAAATCCAAGGGAAGTACTTAGTCTGTCCTTCAAAGCACTGGCTCAGAGCCACCCTGTCCAGGCAGAGCTCAGTGCATTACAGTGGTGTTATTAGTTAGCACATGGAGTCAGTGAGTGCTGTACCTGCTCACATGTAGAAATGAGCACACCTAGAAATGAAAGGGAGCATTTAGTAAGCAGAGAGAATGTAAATAAAGTGCTGAGTGTAGGTGGTCCCATGTGAATTGTTTGATTTGTAGTTGGTCTGTGACATCTCTACATTTGGATAAGATAGCAGTTTTCCTAGCAACTAGTGGCTGCAGTCTGAGATACCTCTATTGTTAGCTGGAGAACATAAAGGTGAATTGTTTGTGTACTTGCTCATTTCCAGTGTAATTATGATCCTGCATCGCAGGTAAGCCTTTCCTTCTGGGAGAAAGTGGTTTTATCAGCAAGTATAAAACAGAATGGTAGAGACTTGGAAACTTGGCTGGTGGCTTGGGCTTGCCCAGTGTCCTCTGATTTTCTGGTTTTCCTTTGTCCTTCTCTGGTCTCTAATTTCCCCCCTTTTCACCTGTTCTACTCTGCATTTTCTCCCTGTTCTGTCCAGGGATGGGCGGGGGGGGGGGGCAGTAAAGGCTTTGCCCATCCTCAAATTGAGATTGAGAAAGTTGATAAAGGGAAGAGTTTAGTAGTAGACAGTGAAACTGGAGGTTTATTACTATAAACTGTACTATACCTCTCAATCCTGCAGAGATTTAAATTGCCACTTAAAAGGGAGGTCCTGGAGTCCCTTACCACATGTCATCACTACCCTTGTGTAGGAACTTCTCTTGCACCAAGTCACTTGAAAGAAATCACAGGATTTTACGCAATGAAACACTTGGACTGAGTGGTTAGAGTGATGTAAGGTATAACTACCTCTTGCTTTTCTCCTCTGATAGTGAACATCTCAAACCATCAGAAAGCCTTAATTGTAAAGACACCATCATTTTTATGGAATACTTAAACCTTGCTAATGCAAGTAGCCACAGTGCCATTCTGCACTTGCCTCTCTGGAGCTGTGGGAGGAGAGGGAAAACAGCAACAAAGGTTATGATTTGACTGTCTGGAAACAAATCCCTTGTGGCAGATCTTGTAAATGTTAATTCAGCCCAGCTGCCCAGACTATGCCTTCCTCCTTCTCATTGCTTTGCCCCCAGATCAGAAGTCTTCAAGACATTTCTTCCTGAGCTGTTAGGATGTTTTGATCAAAGGCAAATAAGTTTTTGTGTGCTTACACAAGTTACATTCACTGCAAGTAAATACTTGTTTGGGGTGCAAATCAGGTGTTGGTTTCTGATAGGAAATGTATTTTAGGAGTGTAAACAGGAATTTCGACATCATTTCATTTTTTTCTGTGAATCTGAGTTTTAGCTGAATCTAGGGCAAGAAGGCAGAAGCTGTATCAAGGCTTTTATTTCATGGTACCTGGCTCGGGCTGGCTCGGACGCAGCCCAGTCTCTGAAAGAACCAGGATAATTTCAGTGCCCAGTAGAGGGAGTGCACACTGCATGCTCGACAATTTTTCTCTACACCAGCTTTATACAAAACCAGCCATCGTCTCAATCTGTGTTTCCAGGTGGAACTCACTACAGCAGCAATACACCAGAGGCACTTCGAGTTAATCCTTCACTCCGTTTAGGTGAATTATTATAGAAGAACGATTTTAATTACTGGCTGAGATTGGTGTTTAAATAGAAATTCCTCTTTCCAGAGGTTTAATTCCTTTTTAAGAATAACTTACTTATGGCTAAAATGTTCCTTAAAAAGATTTTTTGCTGCTGAGAAATAGTTTAATTTATTAATACCTTCCTGCTTGTCTTAAAATGCTAGCTTTTTTTTCTTATTTACTGTCTGATTTGCAGCTGATTTAAAACTGCAAGGTCATTTGTATCTAAAGTTGTGAGAGGACAGGTGTGTGCTGTATTTTCAGTCATGCACACTACCTTTCATTTACATCATTTCCATAAAAGTTTATCCGTTAGGATAGTACATGAAGTCCTCACATTAATGGAAACGTAGTTCATAAGCCATGTTGTGTACACTGAGAGTATGTTTATCTCTTCTGTCATTACCTTTGTGAAGCTAAGTAAAAGATTTACCAATTGGGCTGGCTAAGATTCAAACAGAGAGAAGCTACTGGGCAATATGGTGTGAGAAATATCCCACTCACTTGTCTGTCAGCAGTGATCATTTAACACGCCTATTACATCTTGAGTTTTTAATTTAAAGATTTTTAATCTTTAATTTTTGTTTCACCTTTCTTTATCTTCTGTCAAATCTAAGAATGCACTTGGATCTTGGTTCATGCATGTAGTTAATTTTATCCTGTGAAACATCTGGGTGAATTCAATAATGCCATTAATAATTAGACTTGGATAAAGCTGTCCTTTTGATCCTGATTTGATCCCTAAACCTTATTGCACTATAAGTCTGATTTTCCTGAATAATGACAGAAAATAGTTACAAATTCTTTTTGCAAGTGACATATTTGCTGGTTATAATTCAATCTTAAAATATTTTTATATATAAAAAGATTAAAATTTGAACATGTAATAAACTAAGCCAAGAATTCTGCTGTTTATTTAGCTGCAAGACTATTGCTGATTTTTTCCGTATCTTCAACTACAGCGTGGCATTTTATCAGTGTGAATGAGTTATTTCTACCTGATTGTTTTGTAGCTCTTTTTCAACTCTGTCTTTTAGTTAAGTCACTGTCTGCTTTAAAAAAAGTCACACGTGAATTTTAGATCAGAAGCAAGGGCTGTATTGTTTTCCCTTTCTGCTTCTTTCTGTAGCCATAGAATATCTAGTCCAGCTGACTGCTTTCTGTAGCAGCTTCTTGTGCTCACATCCTTCTTTTTTAACTCTTCCTTTTAGAGAAGTTATTTCGGGGGGGGGGGGTAAGTAATTGTCGTTAATGATCCCTCCCTATGCCTGAACCTGTATCTGCTAAAACATACTCAGACCAAGGAGCAAGAGAGACACCTTTGTAAAAGAAGTCATTTCCTAAGGTGATGCTTTTAAGCAGCACAGGCAAAACCCCTCATTCTTAACAAAGTTGCTCTTTGAAAACCATAAGTGCTTAAGATTTGAACTTAATGTCCGTTGTTAGTGTGCATTACATCTAAACATGTCTTCTATCAGACTGTACATCATTAGCATGTAATGTGAGTGTTTGTATGGTCAAAGTAACAGCCAAGGCAACATTTTAACTATTTCTGGTTTTGTCTAGCTAACATTTATCAGAAAGCCCGGTCAGTCATAACTGTAAAAATGAACACAAGATATTAAAGAAGTCATACAGATGCTT